GCTGGTGGCACTGGCACTAACGGGCTGCGTGACCTTCCCTTGCAGATGAAGTGCGCACAGGGACCTACCGGCAGCTCTTCCACCCCGAGCAGCTCATCACGGGCAAGGAGGATGCGGCCAACAACTACGCGCGGGGCCACTACACCATCGGCAAGGAGATCATCGACCTGGTGCTCGACCGCATCCGCAAGCTGGTAGGGGGTGCTGGGCCAGGCACCTGGGGGGCGGGCGAGGACAAAGCTGCCTGTTCTCCCTTCCCTGTGAACCGGCAGGGCTGGATTTAGACTTAATGTATTAATTAATGCTAATCCGGCTGGCAGCAGCTCCCATTGGTGGCTGCCGCAGAGCTGGAGCGGTGCCGCAGCCCCCGGCGCTCAGCCCCACAGTCCCCTTTGTTCCCACTCAGGGGCTCGGAACGGGCTGCGCCTGCTGCGCTGGGGCCCCCGCGAGTGCCCGGTGCAGGGGGTGGCACTGTCCCTGCCACCCTGTGCCTGCCCTGACTGCCCAGAGCCTCTCTGGGGTGCCCTGCCTGCTCAGGCTGCTCCTTGTCCCCCTTTCCCGGGGGACTCTGCTCCTGTGACCCTTCCCAACACAGGGAGTTGGGGTGGTCCTTAGGTGGCCTGGCCTGGCAGCTCTTGCCTGGCCATTGGGAGGTCCCCAGAAGGTCATGGCAAGACCACAGAGAAGGAAGCAACTGCCTCTCTCCCCCGTGAAGAAGCTTCTCTCAGCTCCGGCGGTGCCAGAGCCCAGGCCATTCTGTCTTGTCTTCCCGGTACAGGCTGACCAGTGCACAGGCCTGCAGGGCTTCCTGGTCTTCCACAGCTTTGGCGGTGGCACCGGCTCCGGTTTCACCTCCCTGCTCATGGAGCGCCTCTCCGTTGACTATGGCAAGAAGTCCAAGCTGGAGTTCTCCATCTACCCGGCCCCACAAGTGTCCACGGCTGTGGTGGAGCCCTACAACTCCATCCTCACCACCCACACCACCCTGGAGCACTCCGACTGTGCCTTCATGGTGGACAACGAGGCCATCTATGACATCTGCCGCAGGAACCTCGATATCGAGCGTCCCACCTACACCAACCTCAATAGGTTGATAGGCCAGATTGTGTCCTCCATCACTGCGTCCCTGCGCTTTGATGGGGCCCTGAATGTCGATCTCACTGAGTTCCAGACCAACCTGGTGCCCTATCCCCGCATCCACTTCCCCCTGGCCACCTACGCGCCCGTCATCTCTGCCGAGAAAGCGTACCATGAGCAGCTCTCTGTGGCCGAGATCACCAATGCCTGCTTCGAGCCGGCCAACCAGATGGTCAAGTGTGACCCTCGCCACGGCAAGTACATGGCCTGCTGCCTGCTGTACCGTGGGGACGTGGTGCCCAAAGATGTCAACGCCGCCATCGCCACCATCAAGACCAAGCGCAGCATCCAGTTTGTGGACTGGTGCCCCACGGGCTTCAAGGTGGGCATCAACTACCAGCCGCCCACGGTGGTCCCTGGCGGGGACCTGGCCAAGGTGCAGCGCGCCGTGTGCATGCTGAGCAACACAACGGCCATCGCCGAGGCCTGGGCCCGCCTGGACCACAAGTTCGACCTGATGTACGCCAAGCGTGCCTTCGTGCACTGGTACGTGGGCGAGGGCATGGAGGAAGGCGAGTTCTCGGAGGCCCGTGAAGACATGGCAGCCCTGGAGAAGGATTACGAGGAGGTGGGGGTAGACTCGGTGGAGGGCGAGGGTGAGGAGGAAGGTGAGGAATACTAGCCCCACCATGCTGCTCTCGCGGGGAATATAACGTAGGGTCTTGAGCCAAGCGGTGGGGCCACCCCCGCGTGTTTGCTGTGCAACTGCTCTGTACTGGGGACCCTCCCCGGCCCGCCGGGGTCTCAATAAAAAGCCTTCCCTGTCCTAGAAGACTTGTGTCGTGTGGTCACTCTGTGCTCTGCCAAACCTGGTCCCCCTTGGGCCCCTCCAACCCTGGTGTCTGGGAGGGTTGGGGACACAAGGGCTGGCTCAGCCCACAGCATCCCTGGCTGTCCCTGTGGCTGGGTGGAGCAGGGTGACGAGCCCCCCGTGGGTGCTCCACGGCTCAGGTGGTCCTGGGTCCTCCTGGAACTGCTGTGGGGGCAGCAGCACTTCCTGGCTTCACCACTCTGGGGACTTAGGGTGCCTTATAAACCCCTTGGGATAAGTCCCCGTGGCCCAGGAGGGTGGAGGTGGTGTCACCCGGGGTTGTCACTGCTGCTGCAGCCAGGGCTGGCTGTCCCCTCCCCATCTGTCTGCCCAGGGAGCTGGGGGGGGGGGCAGCCCCCTTGCTCCCCAGCCCCTCCCTGGGGGCTGCCATGAGTCCCCCCCTCCCCCCCCTCGGCCACAATTGTCCCTGGGGAGGCAGAGGGGAAATGGGGAGGGTCCTCCATCCTGTGCTACCATCAGCCGTCCCGGCACAAGTGATGGAGGAGACGATGAGTGGGTGCCACATGTTGGGGGGGAGGGGCACGGAATGGGCCATGCCGTGGTGGCCCGGCCACCGGTGCCATTTTGCTGTGCAGCAAGATGGCTGGTGGCCCCGAGCACGTGGCTGCTGCGGCAGGCGAATGGCCGCCCGCCACGTCACGCACTGCAGTGCAGCGGCCGCAGCGCGGCGGCGGGGGCGCCTGGAGGTGCCAGCAGCTCCGAGCCCTCTGCTTTGTCCCTGCTGGGTTATCCCGAAGCTCGGGTGGGAATGGGATTATTCGGAGCAAAGAGCATTATGGATTAGGGCAGGCCCAAGGGGGGAGGCACCAGGTGTCTGCAGGGTCCCTGGCCATGTCTGGCCCCCACTGCAGGGCCAGGGGGTGGGCCCTGAGCAGGGTTTTACCCGCAGCACCCACCATTTCTGGGGAGGGGCAGGATGCCCAGTAAACCTGCCCATTCCCATCTGCCCCCCCACCCCTGCACCAGCAGTTTTGGGGTGCACGGGGCCTGCAGCAGCATCTCCAGGGCTGTGTCCCCTCCTGGGTGCCACCTACTGGGACACGGGAGGGGCTGGGCCACATGTCCCCCCTCGCTGATGCTTGCTGCAGGCAGGGGGGAGGCAGGGCAGCTCCAGGGGATGCAGATGGGTTGGGGACCCCCGGGGTGCCCACGAGGGTGGGGGTCTTCAGGGCGCCCATGGCCTG